TATTTATTAGCTAGCTCTTTTAACGCTTTTATTTAGCTTATAAGTATATAATAATAAGTATTTAAGCTTAATACCTTATACTTTTACCTAGCGTTTAAAGATTAAATTACCTACTATTATAATTATAAATCTCTTATTATTCTATATAAATTTATATATTAATAGCTTAAATTACCTTATAACTTATCTCTTAAAATATATGATAATATAAAATATAATAAGTTATTTCTTATTTAATAGTAAATAATATTATATTATCTTAGAATATTTATTCTTAAATATTAAAAGCTATTTTATACTATTATAACTTAGCTTATAGTCTTAAAGGTTCTAATATACTCGCTAAAATAGTCTTAGTAACTTATACTCTTTAAGTTACCTTAATATAACTTAACGTGTATAAACTTACGTATATATCTTATAGTTAATACGCTTAGTTCCCTTAATACGCATGTTTTTAGTATATATTAATAGCTTAAATAAAGCTATTAGTCTTAAATAGCTTAAATAAAGGTATTATAACTCTTTAAAGTCTTCTCTTAGCCTTAAAGGGTTAAAGCCAGAGCATTAGAAGTAGTCTAGTTTTATAGTTTTATAGTTTTTGTAGTTTCGAATATAAAAAATTATATTAAATCTAATAAAATACTTATAGAATTATAAGTCTTACGAATAACTAGCATAAATCTAAAATTATAAGCTTATAATACGTACGTAATTTATACCCGTAACAAGTTACCCATTCTAACAATTATCATGTTGTTGTATTAGCGGAGACACTAACACGTTAGAGTCGGCGGTGACCCCCGGGCTCTCAAGAGCCCTTAAGACGAAAATCACCTCTCTCAAAGAGTTTAAGCTTAATGAATTGGGATTTTCCCACTCATCTGGTAAGCAAAGATCCTGAGATAAGCTCCCTAGGATCGTGTTAGGTATTGCCGGCCATTGGAATTTGGTTTGCAATTGCTTACCAATTACTTCTATTAGATCATATCTGACGTTAATTAGTAACGCTATAATCTCAGAGATAGAAGGAAGCGAGTCTTCAGGGTGTTGATTGTGTACCAAGTGCACGCGCGGGACATCTTATTCCACCACCTCCACATCACTATCTGTGTTAGACTCAGAATCGGACGGGATTAATATCACATCCTCTAAAGTCCACGGACGATCAAGAAAGGAACAGACTCCCGCAGTTTGTGCCATCATGCCAGTATGGTGTAAAAGAGGGCTTCTAGAAAGTCTGTGAGGTTAAAGCTATGGAGGTGAAAGCACACGAACTCGGTCAGTCCGTCCGTGTGACATAACGTCGAGGTAAGGGGGCCCTACCTACCTTCTGGCAAAGCTGCTGGAATCCAAGGTATGACCACCAGCGCCACTTACAAGTCGAGGACGGCGAACTTGTGAGGGACGATGAAAAAAGGTCAAAAAGTTTCATGCAGCATCGTAGGGGCGGACCCCTTTATATACCCATTTGTACCGGCATCACGTACTTCGTAGCTCTGCTACCAAAGCCTCGTTATGCCTCCAAATCTCCGCTCATGCGGCTATACGGCCTATGGGATAAGTTAATATTACTCCTTATTGGTAACATTATTCTCGCTTATGTTTCTTGCTTATCAGCCACACAGCGTGAATCTCGTGTCGCAGATTATGTTGTTAAGAGGAAATACTTGTGCATATATTAAGCTAAATGAGTGGGTGCTAGAAGATTTCTAACGTAAAAATCATACGAAGTGAATGTCACCATTAAAATAGTTAGTACTCTTATACTAACGGCGGGCAGGGCAACTCTCCTTACACATTGCCCGTTTGGCCCGGATTCTCTGTCTCTATTTCCACTTTTACCCAACCAGACCCATCAGCACCCTCCGAGTCGATCACGCTCGATGCCCTTACGGAATTATTGTGTTGAGGTTCCTGGGTGGCTTTCGGAGGTTGCCAGTCTGAAGACACGCTTTGAAGAGTATGTCCAGGACTTTCTTGCCGGTTCGTGGTGCCGAAAACATCGATGGAGGGGTCGACTTTCATTTCTAGAAAGCTCGAAGCATTAGCAGTGGGAGGCCTTCGGTGTCCTCTGTCAATTCCAGTCTTCTTCTCCGCCACATTTTCTCCAGAGTCCTCGGCGGCGGGACCGCCAACCGAGAATAAGCTCTCCTCACACACATTTTCCAGTCCAGGCAAATCCTCCTTGCTTATCGGCGGGAGACCAGTTGTTACGTCGCTAAGATCCTCCATCCGCCAGCTTTGAAGATCTAGCCTGGCTAAGTCTTCCTCAGTCATCTTGCGAGAGCCTTCATTCAAGTCGAAGTCTACGTCAGTGTCCCAGATCGCAGCAGGATTCTTTATCCCTGACTTGTCGCGAGTCTCCTGAGCCCCAGTGACCAATTGGACTTGAATAGCAGGCTTGGTGACAGGTGGAGTGTAAGATTCCGTTACCGTGGGTGTACCAACAGCACTTAACGGGACAGACCGCAAAGCTTTACAATCCGTATCTTTACGAGGTGGAGTTAGAGAAAGGCCAGAAACTTATACGAATAGCGCGCTAAGATAATGTTAATTGCTGTTCTTTTCTGACGTTTCTCCTGTCTCGTTAAACTTAGTTTCGATCCATGGAGGAAGGCCAAATGTCACGTTTATGCCGGTCTCGGTTCGGTTGCCTAAAGCAACTAATAATGCACTAGGCTTGTGGGTAGAAGAGTCGTGGATACCATTATTAGACTTTCTCTTACTAGATACTATTTTTACTATGTGATATTCACGAATATTCTCGTTAAAAGGCGAAAGGCCGTGGTTTACGTTTATACCCTCGTAAATTCTAAACTTTAACAGATCTTCTTTAGTTTACTCCTTAAAGACAGAACTTACGGGTACATCCTTGCTAATATCCTAAAATCCCAATAAAGATATAAACGTGTTAGCGTACGACCCACAGCTCTGTCTAGGAATCAAGTCTCCTAGATTAGGATTAGTATTAGTATAGGGTTTATAGATCTATCCGCTGCTAATGTTAAGTTCATAAATACCAGATGCCAACTGAGCAGGAGCTTCCTCGGAGTTTTCTGGCGTGGATATTTTGTGAGAATGAACTTCGGTAACACCCGAGGGAGCTGCGACCGACGGTTTATTAGAGGAAATACCATGACTATAATGGAGTGGAGTTGAAAGAACACTAGTTTCCTTTAATTAGCATGTTTTGAGTCTGACACTTTGGTACAGCAGGTTATATCTTACCTTCCAGAAGGTTCTTTCTTATGATCGGATTTTATCATCCCTTTTATCCATAACCCTTCGCCCTACGCCTCGATCTGGGAGTTAGGCGTGGCGGAGCGGGTTATAAGAGAGGTTAGCTTTTAATTATGAAGGGGGCGAGACATCTTAGTACTTGAAAGAAAGCTCGTTTCTATTGGCAAATATTTTTAGTGATATTAAAATAAGCTATTCGTTTAATTTCTTTACTTTTCTAGTTTATCTTAGGTAAAAAAGTCTTCTCTTTTATACATCCCTTTGCAACTCAACGGATTTTTCGTGCTTATTTCAATCAAACCCGGGACTATTCCCAGTCAACGGAAAAGCTCCTGTTACATATTCAACTTTTCTGCAAGCCACATCACACAGCTGATATTGTTTATGGGTAGATGATGCATTCCTAACTGCCACACCTACTTCTGACGAACTTCCCCCACTATGTAGGTCACGTGCCGCGAAGGAGACAGTGTGGCTAGCTAAACAGGCCCCAGAGAACACGCAAAGGTAATTTTAATTGGCCCGCTCCCAGTGCATGTCTGTGCGCTCTTGTGCTCCTATGTGCTCTGTGCTCCTGTGTGCTCTTGGCAAAGTGGCACTCGTCAGGTTCGGCCATAGAGACCCCGCCTCGGAGCCCCTCTGGCAATAACATCCTTCCTCCAGGCCGATGGAATTAAAAAAAAAAAAAAAAAACTATCCCATATCAGTAGATCTTATTATTCGGTTAGGGCGTAAAGAGCCAATTCAAAACCTACATGTCGTCAAATATGAAATTTCAGTCGAGGCCCATGCAGCCCAACTAAGGTTGCTGACTAATTCAGGATTGCCCCTCCTCCGTCACATGTGCCTTTTTCATCGCAATAGCATTGGTTGCAAACACATAATCGACACCAACCGCGCCATTATGTCCTCCCAAATTTCACGCTCGACAACCAAAGCGAAACTTTCGATCGAGCGAGCCGGCTATCATATCATCAAAGATGCAGAGCATTCGAAGGTCAATATTGGGGAGAACGAATCGCAGCGAGATATGGGAAAGGGGAGACGATTCGCCCAATTCTATAAGGAGGGATATAAAACGAAGACCCCAAACGGACTGGATTTCGTTTACCAGAATACCATTGCAGATGAAGTATGTAGAGCGACCATTTCGCATTCTTCATTAACATAGTACAGGAAATAGGGCCTATTGTACACTCCATCATCAGGCAACCACGCTGGGGATATCTAAGATTTTACAGCACAAAAACACTTTCTGCTGACTATGCGTGGTTCTTTCGCAACCACGACGAATTCAATACAGACGAACCTATACAGACTCTGATGGTGCAGTTTTGGTTGCCTGGATCTCGGGTTGTCTTTTATCAAGGCTCACAGCGACAAGCCTTCAAGGCGAAGGAGGATCTAGAGAGCTTTGGTATCTTCAGAACACCTCGATCAAACATGGAAAAGGGGGACATTGTCTCTGCCGAAGAAGATATGCCAAATGGGGGATAGTAAGTCCGCCAACTATATATATGCAGGCCCAAGCTGACTCCCGAAGCACTATTATTGATAGTCGAATTGGTTGGACATACGAAGCTGGAGAGGGTTTCACGAGTATTGCTTTAGGGGTGAACGAGGAAGTGCTAGGTTGGCCTCCCATGCAAATACCGGACACACAGGCTCTGCGTGCAAAAGTTGCCGAATTGGAAAACCATGGTTTTCGCACGAATTTCACTTATTTATCTTAGAGTAGGAGATCAATGCATGATGCATTGAAACAAACAGCTTCCATTCTTTGAGACTATAAATACGATCAAAGACATTCCTTTGTGATAGCATGCAAATCAGTATTGGTAGAAAGGCTGGAGCTTCCTACGGCTGGGGGGTTCTGATACTGATCGGCAAATGAACCATCGACAGTATTGGTAGAAATGCTGGAGCCATCCATATTGTAGAAATTGAAGCTAGAGGGCAAGACAGAAACTGGCTCTCCTAACGCTGGGGCACCCCGGTCGACAGCATTGGTAGAAATGCTGGAGCCATCCATATTGTAGAAATTGAAGCTAGAGGGCAAGGCAGAAGCTGGCTCTCCTGACGCTGGGGCACCGAAATTATCGATATCAAAGCCAGGGGTTAAGGCAGAAGCTTGTATGAGGAAACTTGAGCCCGAGGCATTCTGTCCCATGTGACACCGGGTGTTTGCAAAAGGTTGGCCCATGCTATAGGGATACTGCATGCTTTCTATAGCTGGGCTTTGTGGTGTAGCCTTGCTATATGGGTTCGTAAGTTCGTCATTGACTGTGGCGTCATTCTGTGCGTTGGGCTGATTATCTCCCGGGTATGTATGATTGTTGTTCGTCATCGTTCCCACATCTGCTGGGCCTCCGGAATTCGGAGTGCCTCTCCTTAGTCTTGCCTTCTTTCGTGGTTTTGATTGATCCATGTCACGACGTCTCAAAATGGCCTGAGTCTCGCGAGATGCCCTCTCCGTTGCTTCTCTGATTATATGATCCATCGCCTGGTATTGGTTCTTTTTCAACCTTGCGCATGCGTGTCGATGTCTTTTAAGGATGGATACACGATTCAACGTCTTGAAACAACCAAGGCAAGAGACATTGCATGAAACATCTGTCATCGTCAACAATGTCCTGCACCGAAGGAGAAATGGGGTAATTACGAGTAAGATAGTGCCGAGAAAAGTCCTTGAATTGTTTGTCCGCCTTCCGTCTCGAGCATTCGCTCTTGGGGCAGATGTAAGTCCCGGCTTTCTCAACACGTTTGTTGCCATTGTCATTCTTGTCTCTGTCGTCGTCTCCGTCGTCGTCTCCGTCGTCATCTCTTTCGTCATCTCTTTCGTCGTCCCTTTCGTCGTCCCTTTCGTCGTCCCTTTCGTCGTCCCTTTCGTCGTCCCTTTCGTCGTCCCTTTCGTCGTCCCTTTCGTCGTCCCTTTCGTCGTCCCTTTCGTCGTCCCTTTCGTCGTCCCTTTCGTCGTCCCTTTCGTCGTCCCTTTCGTCGTCCCTTTCGTCGTCCCTTTCGTCGTCCCTTTCGTCGTCCCTTTCGTCGTCCCTTTCGTCGTCCCTTTCGTCGTCCCTTTCGTCGTCCCTTTCGTCGTCCCTTTCGTCGTCCCTTTCGTCGTCCCTTTCGTCGTCCCTTTCGTCGTCCCTTTCGTCGTCCCTTTCGTCGTCCCTTTCGTCGTCCCTTTCGTCGTCCCTTTCGTCGTCCCTTTCGTCGTCCCTTTCGTCGTCCCTTTCGTCGTCCCTTTCGTCGTCCCTTTCGTCGTCCCTTTCGTCGTCCCTTTCGTCGTCCCTTTCGTCGTCCCTTTCGTCGTCCCTTTCGTCGTCCCTTTCGTCGTCCCTTTCGTCGTCCCTTTCGTCGTCCCTTTCGTCGTCCCTTTCGTCGTCCCTTTCGTCGTCCCTTTCGTCGTCCCTTTCGTCGTCCCTTTCGTCGTCCCTTTCGTCGTCCCTTTCGTCGTCCCTTTCGTCGTCCCTTTCGTCGTCCCTTTCGTCGTCCCTTTCGTCGTCCCTTTCGTCGTCCCTTTCGTCGTCCCTTTCGTCGTCCCTTTCGTCGTCCCTTTCGTCGTCCCTTTCGTCGTCCCTTTCGTCGTCCCTTTCGTCGTCCCTTTCGTCGTCCCTTTCGTCGTCCCTTTCGTCGTCCCTTTCGTCGTCCCTTTCGTCGTCCCTTTCGTCGTCCCTTTCGTCGTCCCTTTCGTCGTCCCTTTCGTCGTCCCTTTCGTCGTCCCTTTCGTCGTCCCTTTCGTCGTCCCTTTCGTCGTCCCTTTCGTCGTCCCTTTCGTCGTCCCTTTCGTCGTCCCTTTCGTCGTCCCTTTCGTCGTCCCTTTCGTCGTCCCTTTCGTCGTCCCTTTCGTCGTCCCTTTCGTCGTCCCTTTCGTCGTCCCTTTCGTCGTCCCTTTCGTCGTCCCTTTCGTCGTCCCTTTCGTCGTCCCTTTCGTCGTCCCTTTCGTCGTCCCTTTCGTCGTCCCTTTCGTCGTCCCTTTCGTCGTCCCTTTCGTCGTCCCTTTCGTCGTCCCTTTCGTCGTCCCTTTCGTCGTCCCTTTCGTCGTCCCTTTCGTCGTCCCTTTCGTCGTCCCTTTCGTCGTCCCTTTCGTCGTCCCTTTCGTCGTCCCTTTCGTCGTCCCTTTCGTCGTCCCTTTCGTCGTCCCTTTCGTCGTCCCTTTCGTCGTCCCTTTCGTCGTCCCTTTCGTCGTCCCTTTCGTCGTCCCTTTCGTCGTCCCTTTCGTCGTCCCTTTCGTCGTCCCTTTCGTCGTCCCTTTCGTCGTCCCTTTCGTCGTCCCTTTCGTCGTCCCTTTCGTCGTCCCTTTCGTCGTCCCTTTCGTCGTCCCTTTCGTCGTCCCTTTCGTCGTCCCTTTCGTCGTCCCTTTCGTCGTCCCTTTCGTCGTCCCTTTCGTCGTCCCTTTCGTCGTCCCTTTCGTCGTCCCTTTCGTCGTCCCTTTCGTCGTCCCTTTCGTCGTCCCTTTCGTCGTCCCTTTCGTCGTCCCTTTCGTCGTCCCTTTCGTCGTCCCTTTCGTCGTCCCTTTCGTCGTCCCTTTCGTCGTCCCTTTCGTCGTCCCTTTCGTCGTCCCTTTCGTCGTCCCTTTCGTCGTCCCTTTCGTCGTCCCTTTCGTCGTCCCTTTCGTCGTCCCTTTCGTCGTCCCTTTCGTCGTCCCTTTCGTCGTCCCTTTCGTCGTCCCTTTCGTCGTCCCTTTCGTCGTCCCTTTCGTCGTCCCTTTCGTCGTCCCTTTCGTCGTCCCTTTCGTCGTCCCTTTCGTCGTCCACTTCGTATACTTCGTTATTTTCATTTTTAAGGCAAATATTCACCCGCAGAGCCTGGAGAGTCCGTATGCAGTGATCCTAGAAAGAGATGGTTAAGGTCTGTCCACACATGAGGGGTGGGTTCCTAACCAAGAAATTCCCGATTTCTTCCGCTTTGCGACTAGTTTCCTGCTTCGATTATGTTCAGAGGGCAACTCTTCATCAGGCGAGACATTGGACATACACAAGATGAGCAAATCGCCATCGTGGGTATTGGGTACCGGTTGGGTTGTGGTTTAAGTTGGGGATTTGAACCGAAGCCCAATCATGCGAGCCCCTCCCAGTTCAGACCCAGTCAGATTGAAACACGATTTCTTATTTGTCAGTAATTACTAACCAGCTAGAAACAGCAGAGGCTTCTGTTGGCCCACATATTGCTCCATGTTGGGCAGCCATCACGATGTCTTGCCGGTATATATTCCACTTATCCCGCCTAAGTATTCCTCCTGCAATCTGCTGATGATGTATTTTCCGTCCATGCAATCTGCCCTTGCACGCTCTGCATATAACTACAGGTTAGTGCATCTACTACGTCCCCTCACTTCCTTGATTAACACGGATAGCCTATCCTACTCTTGCAAACATAACAAGATGTGTTCGGATTGCGTAGTATGCGGAGGTAATCCTGGACCAACCGGTTGCGGTCGATGCGGATGCAGGTAAGGTGAATAAGAGAAGAGAGAGGAGAGAGGAGAGAGAAGAGAGGAGAGAGGAGGGAGGAGAGCACGGGAGAGCACAGGAGAGCACAGGAGAGCACAGGCGAGTACAGGAGAGCACAGGAGAGCACAGGAGAGCAAGGGAGAGCACAGGAGAGCACAGGAAGCCGATAGCGAGATGGACGTCTCTGATACGTTGCCAGATAGGGCGGTCCCATTTTAAATTGCAAAAAAGTTTCGCAGCACGTACCCTACCTCGACTGGTAAGGCAGACGATGGGCGATGTTAGTAATGGAAGTAATCGCATGCTTGCTTATCCCAGGCCGTGTCCAGCGATAAAACAGCAAAACTTATGACAGCTCACAGAGATCTTTCCAGCACATACACACGCTTCGCTGGCCACTGTTGGGGTGCGCTGCCGAGACGCAGATACACGAGTTCCCCGCTTTCGGGCCTGCTGCTTAGTGAGTTGCGTGGGAGCATGTAGCCTACTGAAGTTGCTTCACCAGATACGCGCAGAAGCAACTCGCCATGTTACGAGATTTTGAGTATAAAAACACCTACCCCTTCCGCCCAATGATGTGGCATGACAGACCAAGCTCATACACCAGCGAATCCTACAACTTTGAACTTTTTCATCTCCTCATCAGATTCTCCTTCCAATCATGGCGGTCGCAATCTCCCAGTATGACACAAGTGCCTTCAACAAGCTCCCGGGCTTTGAGGTGGCGGGGCCAAATTATGATGAAGTTGATGGTAAAAAAATCATCACTGAAGTCATGACATCTCTGTTCCGTAAGCATGGGGTCGAGAAAGTCCTTGGCCTACAACTTCTTCATCAGCACTTCCAACTCCGCGATGGAGAACATCTTGTGGACTTCAATGGGACTTCGGTGCCTATTACACCTCATGGAACGCAGCTTCAGAGTTTTACTACATCCATCTGGAGCTTTAAGAAGAAGGAGAATGGCTTCCAACTGCAACCCTTGGAATTCAAGCTGAACTCAGGCGATACCAAGATAGACGAAGCTTCTCCATGGCACGAGGCAAACTTCCAGCAGTTCGTTACCTCTAAGCAGTCTTTCTTCGAGGAATACTACAGAGTAGAGCAAGAACTCGGAATTGAAGGATTGTTTGGATTTGCACGATACCCTGGAGATGGGTTTCCCGGCCGTGTCGAGGTTTCCATTGGCCGGACTAGTATCAATCTCACTCCAGCGCAGGTTAGTAACAACGACGCAATTGGATGCTTATTCTAACCTTTTCCTCCAGAGCTCAATCTGGTCCATCGGGGAGAGCCGGGAGGCTGCTTGGTTCTTCACGGATGACTTCATCAAGCATGGATGCAAGTGTCTCTGTCCAGAGTATAATGGGAAACATGCGGGACACAGCCAACATATTTACACAATGTCAGGGTAATAAGGGTGTTATTTCGAGATGGGGACACTCTTAGCTGGGTCCCAATTCGTCGCACACATCGCTTGATGTATATCGGCTTGGTCAATCGCTTTAAACCACCAGTATCTATTGACCTCATCATCGCGAGATAATACTTGGTAGTAATCAAGTTCAATGCCCCCCTCAGTAGAAGCTCTTTCCTTGACGCAATTGAGATAAAATTGGCGGTCTCGTTCCATCATAGCTGTGTTCTTTGTCTGCCAGGAGGAACCTGTTGGCTCATAGGTGAGGAGACGGGGGTATCCTGCGGCAAACTGAAGCGGAACCATTTCTGACCATCCCAGGTCAATGACGCTACAATACATTAGCGCTAGGTCACCCAGAAATCAGGAATCCCTCCGAACCTTTCAATGTGACATTCATCGTCGACAATGATATTATTAGACCCAAGATCTCCATGAACCAGGACGTGAGGGGCATCGTCAAATTCAGGAACCCAATAACGCCCTATCATATCGAATTGTCTCTGACATCCTTCTGCGCCTCCGCCTCTGTACTCACCACGTTGTGCTCGTTCAATCTTGCGTTTAATTTTCGCCTCAATGTATTCTTTAGCTGACACACCTGGATTAAATTTTAGCCATGTTTCTAGCACTGAACAAAATACTTACCTTTTCTCTGTACTTTGAGTAGATCCATCGTAACTCTAGCTATTGCGTGAATAATTTGATTTCGTTCCTCAATATTAACCGGAAAATCGTCTGTCCATCGAAGTTTGCAACCATGAACCCATTCTAGCATCATGAAAGGGGAGTTAATAAGAAAGTTGCCCTCGGGAGCGAAGTCAATAAGTCTTTGGAAAGCCGTGATTCCCTTGCTCTCAATGGCTTTTCGAGTATTCGCTTCGTTGTTCAATAGGTATGAGGACCACTCCGTAACATTCCTTTGGATACGCATGCATATCGCCTCGCCGTTATGGTTTTGTAATGCAAAGACAATGTTTTCACCACCGAAAAAAGGGGACTTGTCGGTCCCTTGGATGAAGGAACAAGTTGAACATGGTGGTGCTTCAGCCAATGAGCCTGCCTGCCTGCAGATGAACTCGCGAATGTTGTTGATTAGAACTGTACGAGACATGATAAGTGCAGTTTAGGTTGGATGAAAGGAGCGAAAAATGTCCGAGGAACTTTGGCGATTAGAAAAGGTACTTTAGCCATTACGCTACTAGGGAAGTCACGTGAACGGCATGTAGTAGTCGTATAGAGCAGTGCAGGGGATCGCTAATTATCTTGAAGCTCCCTCTTTCGGCTCCCCGATGGGATGACATGCTCTGATTGTCCTATCACACTCACTTCCTACTACTAATGATGTTCCGCCGCTTCCAATAGCCTACAGAATGGCGTGCCTTACGCATGAAGAGTGTGACACCATCGACGAAAACTCTCTCGGCGACTCGCTCTGTAGCGTTCGAGAGGCATTGCGCGAGGCGGAACGAAACAGTCGCCGCGAAGATCTTCAATCAGATGATAGCACAGGGACGCCAGAGCGGCCGCGTTTATTCGTGGCAGCAATGGGAAAGCTGCTCTCTATCCTGTCTGCTTCCGATGCATCCCTACTACTCGCCTTAAGAACGGGAAGGGATTCCCTTAGGTCTAACCTTATAGCAGTTCGTTAACGTGTACAGAAAAGCGACTTTAAGTACTAAAATTTTCGGCCATTAGCGCAGGTTATGATCAAATAAGCACTAGATGCTAACATCTGGGCTGCCGTTATCGCTCTCATCCGATCAATTTCTCACTTGACTCCACCACTAAGTCTGCCTCCGTCCTTTAAAACTCCAATTACCCATTTATTCGCTTCGTAGTAAGGCTTAAAACAGATATAACGGAAAATTAAACCTCGCGTGTTTAAAGAGATTCGTTACTATATGCACCGTGCTATTAAAGGATTCCACGAGAAATATTTTAAAGGATATAAGTGGAATAGGCGAGCTAAGTAAATCTAGCAGAGCGCTAAGAGTCGCTATAGCGATAATAATAAGAGATGGACATAATTACCTGACGCGACCACCGAGAACGAGGTATGTGGCTGGTTGCTTAACTTATAGTAAGAGCTTTTACCAACCGAACGGGCTACGTACTTTAAGAGCGACGAACGTAATAAAGTTAGCGTTAAGGCATCGCGGTAGCTAGACCTTTTTATTAAAATGCGAAGATATAAGGTAGCAGACGTGAAGCACGATTAGGGATACGTGTTAGTCGTCGGCGAGCTTAAGCAGTCTAATAATAAAAATAAGAGCTTATAGCTTTAGGTTAGTAGTGCTATATAAATAATATTCGCTTACTAGCCTACGAGATTATTCATACACGCCTTTACTTTAACTAAGATAGAGATAGAGACTTAAATCTTTAACCGGTCTAAGCCGTATAGCGGGGCTACGTTTAACATTTATAAGAAGCCTAAGAAGTTCATTTAGGTTATATGCGTATATTTAATAATAAGTGACGAGAAGTTTAGCTTAAACACCTTTACTAAGGTAAAAGATAATAAACTATTTATTACTATACCTATTAAGGCTCACGAAAAGAACCGAAAGCGGTAACTTAAACTTAACCCTAATCTAATCGCCTATTAGCGAGCTATTATCTGTCGCGGCACGTCTTACTTTCTCGCTAAGCCTACTAGTAGAGTAGAATTTAATAGAGTTATAAAATACTCTTAGACTTTTAATAGGCGACCACTTAAGGCTAATCTTCTTAATAAGGTAAACGAACGCGGCGTTAAAGGTCTTATAAGGGTAGTTAGCTACCATGAAAAAGTTATTAGTATAAGTAGGCTACGCGAAGGACTATTCTTCTTAACTTCGTATAAGTTTTATAGCGTGCTATATAATGCTAATACGTCTTTCTCGTAATCGTAACCGCTATTAAGCCACTTCTTTAGCTAGTTTCTAGGTCTTAGTATTACTAATAGTAGATATAGTAAGAGGAAGTTAACGGATTAGTTAAGCTATTTATTTAAGAGATCTCGGTTAAACAGCTAACTTACTAAGACGAAACAAGTAAAAAACGGAGTCACCTATTCCATTCTAGAACCGTAAGGCGCTAGCCTTATTTAATAACTATAAGCACCCTATAATAACCGTATTCTTCGCGTACTAGTCGTCTCTCCTATAGAGCGGTTTATTAGCTAGTTTAAGTCTATTATTAAACTCCTTAAAGCTCTTTATAACGCTATTAAAGTTTATCGTTTACTCTACTTAAATAGTAAAATCCTATATTAAGACATTTCCAAAAATAATATTATTATTACTAACCTAGAAAAGGCTAAAGGCTTTAAGGGTATACTTATTAACTTAAACTTAGCTAAGGAAGAAGGTAAAGGCCCTAGTAGGGCTTAATATTAGACTAATACGATAGAGTTTATAGCGATTAAAGTACTTCTTAGGATTTCGTATACTTATTAACATGATATTAAAGCCTTCTTCTACGTCCTTATCTGGTTATACGCTTGCCGCGAGTGGGTATTAGCTAGTGCTTCGAAAAAGCCGGCGATAAATGTAAGGTGGTTAGGGAACCCCGCTTACTTATAACGCGATTAATAACGTTACGTGAAACGAGAGCTTTAAGACTATATCCCCTATATCTTATATAATTAAAAAAAAGGATAAGCTTTAGTTATTATAATATAATTACCCTTACTTTAATTACTTAACTTTTAATCTCTCTTATAATCTTATAATTTTTAAAGCTTCTTAAAAAGTTACTTAATTAAAATAATAAAGATAAGCACTTAAAAAACCCTTATTTTATAAGCGCTTTTATCTTTTCTAGTAAAGAACTCAA